CGTCACCCTAAATTGTCCAGTGACAATCATTCAGTAAAGTGATAATAGTTTAAGGTAACTTCAATAAAGTGGCTGAAAATTAGATTTAATGGTCTATCCGAATGAATTTCTTACTGAGACACTTAGTACAAGCACCGATGTAATTTTGCCATCCAATGTTGATGAAAGTTTAGCTTCTAAGCTTGGCGTCAGTTTGAGGTTTGTAGACCAATATAACATACAATGACAGTACAACTTTATTCATTTTAAACTTCATGTCATCTGTTAATCTCAGTATTATCTTGAGATCAGCATACAAGGCTGTTTTAGTGAGTATGTAACAGCTTAGTTTGGTTGGTTAAAAGTTGACCCCAAGCAACCAAGCATATACCAAAACAGTATTGTTCAAGTATCCATTCACTTCCTTGTTTTGTATAAGCGTTATATTCCCTAATATCTTATACTGAATGTTGAGAGCCTTTGTTTGTCTGAACAGATAATCCCACGCTCCACTGTGACCGCGCTAAGATCGAAATAAAGACCTATTCACTACTTGTCTGGTTTCTTCTATCAATAGCACGAGGGTTACCTTAAGGCACGAAACTGGTGAGCCCTTTTTGAACACAAATTTAACCTCATTTCTGTTATTAACATTTTTTTTACTTAATCGTAAAAGTAGACCTGATTATCCGTAAACTAAGTTGAGTATATAACTAGTTTATTCCGTATTGTCTTAAGTTATTCGTGTTATAGTAACCATTTTTCGTGCTAACTTTATTGCTATATTTGTCACATACCTCATGTCAGACTCAATAGAAACCCATAATCTGGAGGATTTGTCACCAGTGGAGATAGACACTGTTATGACTACGAAATCCCGACTTCCAGAATTTGATTGTAGTGATCCTGAGTTGTGGCTTGCTCAACTAGAGCATTATTTCACGAGACACAATATCAAATCTGAAGGGATTCGCTATAAAGACTTGTGTTCTATCCTTCCTCCTTCAGTCGCCAAAGAAGTCCGTGACTTGATTTTAAGTCCACCATCACCACAATCATACACCATCTTAAGACGAGAGATAATGAACCGTTTATCATTATCAGATAGTCAAGGAATCCAAAGACTTTTTCAAGGTGAAACACTAGGTGATCGGTCGCCGTCACAGTATATTTCTGAAGGTGATGCAGTTAAACCTTAATCTATCAGGTGTCTCTCAAAATAGAATTTTACACACAAGCACTTGATTTCAGTTTGTACTTATCAAGGAATCATCACTGGTAATGTTTTCATTTTACTATTTCTTACATTTAATCGCCATAGAAGGAGCAGTAATAAGTATTTGTTGCAAAAGAGTGCTTTTTAATGTGTACATTGACTTCACTGTTCATTTCCTGCGGTTTCAATGAACACCATGATAACACAGGAATCCATGCAAGCGCCTGTAGGTGGCTTTCAAGGCATACCTAAGAAGCGGGCTTTGCATTCTAAGGAACCGATATATATTTATAAGTGAGCGCTTATGTAGTCAATTCGATTTGCTTTGTTAAACTTTCTTTGCCACTCCTAGTTGTTTCATTCAGTAGCTGGTCAAGACTCTTATGTGAGACATTTATACGTTACTACCAGACTATAACACAGCATGTTATATAAATTTATAATACTCTGTTAGCAGTTCTGAGTTACTAATAATCGCAGTTTAATGTGTCTACTCAGCCTACGTTGTAGTTAAGCTATTTAACCTCGTCCCCACGGCGCATTTACGGATGAAAGGTCGACTATCATGCTGCTTCAAAATTCCTTATGAACATAAGCAATCTTTTCTGCAAGATAGTACACTGGTGATAAATGTAAAAACTGCATATGGCATATGATCCATATTGCAGGTATGTGTAAGATTTCTTCTGTTTTGTGTGAATGTGTGCAAAAATCCTTTTATGTCATGTTTTGTGCGACTGTAATGCCGTCCTTTTGGTGCTGCTAGTCACCCATAGTTTTACATGTTGAAGAATACAGGCCAGTAGTTATAGTAGGTTTTTATTCAGATTGTGGAACAGACCAAATGTAATGCGAGATTTTACTTCCAAGCACAAAACGCTTGACATCCAATGTAGGATAACTGGAAATGTAATGCCTAGGCAAAATAATGAAGATGAACACTTGAGCAACAATGTTTCGACATTAGCAGGATTTCTCCGGCCTCCTCTCAAACATCCAACCCAAAGTGTTGCATATTCACTTGGATGTTCAGGTAGCTGATTTTCTGCCTCTATTTGTGAGTTGCTGATTTTGTTTTGCATGATCTTATAATCTTTTGGACTATCCACAACTCTAGTCTTTGACTTTTCCCTCGCTATTAGATAGTATGTCGATTACCATTCTGATTTTGTTTCACTCAATTACTTTACCTCACTGGAAGACGATTATACTCGTGATTGTCATCGCTCGGTCCACTGGACTGATTATCGCTAATCAATTGATGCCAGGTTCCCTGTGTGTTAGAAACGCGTATTTCTGTTGTAAACATTGACCAATCACTTTCTGAGCTAACTAGCAATCAACACTTGAGATTCTTGGGTTTTCATAAAGTTATTGTTTTGTGGATAATTACCTGCCTATAGACTAAACTGAACAAATGTATCTAGATTTTTGGAGACCTGTCGATTGTATAGAATTGATTAAAAGTTATTCAGGTGTTCTACGTTTGTGCTTGTAATACGCGATTTTATTTTCATCAGTAGCACTTGGTTACTGAATTCTTGTGTTCCTAGCTGTCTGACTCAATGTATGTTCACTGTTACAGTAATATCAATCCAGATCTTTAAGAGTCCTGGACTTTGTAATAATAATAATAATATATTTCTGCATGTGCAGGTACACACCGTTTTTACAGGCATGATCTACAAATTACAACATTTGTCGGCTCACAGCATGCTTCCCAATTTATCAAGTTTATAGCTGTTATAAAGTAGACTCATAGAGCGCTTGCTGTAAACCATGACATTGAGGAGACGCGTACGTTAAGTTTGTTCCATAGCTGTGCCCTCAGAGCAAGATTCCGAAGAATAAAAAAATAGAAACAGAAGAGCAGCAAGGCACTTGGATATGAACGCCAAACGTTGCTTAACATTGTGTAGTAGAACAGACAGAGGCATAATAAATTAGATTAAATTCATATTATCTCTTGTTAGAGTGAAAAATGTCAGCGGCTTCATATGGGAGAATGTAGTAATAAAGAACAATGAATTTTGATGTGTAATAAGTTGGAGTAAACTCACATGAAGGAAGGGAAGTCAAGGTTGGTACAAGCGAAGCGGTTTGTTAGAAGGGTGTGTATATTGAGGGTGAAGTGTTAAGAATACTAGTGACTATCTTTTATTGTCTTTTTTCTTTTTTTGTCCATCCGATGTCAGCCACACAATCCTAGTGTAAAAGTCCGAGTTAGCATGTTATGGGTTGTCTTAGTAGAATAGCTAATCCAGCATATTATTGGAAACATGAGTCTGAGTGGTGGGCGGAGGAAGACAATCTATATCACAGATTGACTGACTTATTCTCAATCATAAAGAGCCTGATACATACAAAATGTTCTGGCCCCCAAACACTAGTGGATTGAAGTTATCGCCCTCACCATCAATGCTTGCTGGTCAGTAACTCCACCCTCCCTCCTTTTGTGATGTTAGGCTCATTTAAGCTTATTTTTA